GGGGGTGTTAATGGGTGGGCAGCAGGGACAACTCAGTAATCCTAAGTCAACATTTGTATGCATGGGTTGGTTCATACCTTCCTATGCTTTCTGACTGTTTGCTTTTACATCTACGCCTCCCATTGCCCAAGGCCTGACCTCCTACATCACACGTCCTCAGTTCTGGTGTCTAGCCCCATCCTCTTAGCCATGGTGCGTGAGTGTTAGTTCTCAGAGTGCCTGGGGTGCTCTGGGTTTGGATGATCTGAGCATCTTCAGTGCTCAAAGGGCTGAGCCTGGAGCTGAGGTTGGAAGATGTGGATTCTACTGCGTCATTCCATTCAGTTCTGAATAATTGTGTGATCCTTAGATAAGCCAGTTCTCTGTGGGCTTTAGCTGCCTCATTTGTGAATGGATGCACAGAACTCTCCTTTGCCTTCCTCCTGGGAGGAGTGTGTGTTATGTGGTCAGGCCTGAGAAAGAGTTTCAGATGCCTAGAGAAAGGACAGATGGGGGTGGGCATTCTGTATGGGAAATTGTTATGGTTTACTTAAACTGCATTAAACCCCAGTCATTTCCAAGCCCTCAACAGAATATAGAATTACCCACTCATGGCACCTGTCAGATGTCTAAATAAGTAATAATTACACTGAAATGTTGTAGAAGAAATATATCTTTTTTTTTTTTTGACCGGTAAGGGGATTGCAACCCTTGGCTTGGTGTGGTCTGCACCACGCTCAGCCAGTGAGCGCACCAGCCATCCCTATATAGGATCCGAACCCATGGCCTCGGTGCTACCAGTGCCGCACTCTCCCGAGTGAGCTATGGGGCCGGACCAGAAATATATCTTTTAAACTGGAGTTTGGGTTCCTACCAAATCACTCCCTTGATTAGCCAAATGCTTAGGTCAATGGGACTGTACTAGGATAAAACCTGCTTTTCTCAAGGATCTCAGGACAGATAAACCAGCACCTGCTTATGAGAAGCATAGATGCATCCGGCTCCCCACCTTCATCCTACTCAGTGTCTTAAACTTCAGCTTTAACAATTTCTTCTGAAGACATGTTTGACACCAGCTGCAAATACATGTATAAAGGAAACATCTCTTTAAAAAAATTCTCGCCTGGGCCGAGCCCGTGGCGCACTTGCGCTGGGGAGCGCAGCAGCGCTCCCGCTGCGGGTTCGGATCCAATATAGGGATGACCGGTGCGTTCACAGCGCTCACTGGCTGAGTGCGCGGTGCGGCCAGTCTCAAAAAGGACAAAAAAAAAAAAAAAAATTCTCGCCTGCAAAACAAAAATATTCTAGGTCTTTGCAAGCCAGAGTCACTCTGGGCCATTGGCTATCTGTCTCAAAGTTGCTGGTATTGGTGGGTATTTGCAGGTGTCTGTAGGAAGCATTTTAGGTGTCAGTTCAAATGATTTCTTCTGATCTTAGTGAGGCTATCATCAGCATCGTCATTATCACTAACATTTCATTTAATGCCTTTTAATATGTGTCAGGCATGTCAAAATCCTCCTAGCAATTCTAACAGGTAGGCATTATCTCTCCTTTGTACAGAGGCTGAGATTGAGACCTAGTCCCAAAGCCATTAGGTACTATACCTGAGACCACGCAGTCAGTAGATGACTAAATATGTAGGATGTCACAGGATGCGGGCTGTATTAACTGACCCACTGCCTCTCTCATGTGGCTGCTTGATCAGGAATTTTGAGGAGCCACTGCAGTGGCTGAGCACAGTCCTCTGGGTCAGTAAATCTAGTTTTGAAGCCAAGTGCTGCTACTGACCCATCTCTCTTTTGTTTCTCTTTTCTGAGCTTTAGCCTTCTTGCCTGTAGAAAGAGATATAATAATGCCTACTTCCAAGCATTGTTGGGACGATTTTATGAGTTGCTTCAGTTTTTACTTAGCACAAGAGCTGGTGATTACAAGTTCCCCCTTTCCTCTGTCTTAATCTAACAGAATTAAGGCTTGGGAAGATCATAGGACAGGTTGAGGATCCTTATCCGAAATGCTTGGAACCAGAAGCATTTTGAATTTCAGATTTTGGGGGGGGGGGTTTGGAATATTTGCATTATACTTACTGGTTGAGCATCCCAAATCCGAAAATCTGATTTGGGGGGGTTTGGAATATTTGCATTATACTTACTGGTTGAGCATCCCAAATCCGAAAATCTGAAATCTGAAATGCCCCAGTGAGCATTTCCTTTGAGCATGACCTTTAGTGTAATGTTGGTGCTTAAAAAGTTTCAAATTTTGGAGCATTTCAAGTTTTGGATTTTTGGATTAGGGATGCTCAATCTGTAATGAATGGAACTAGACTATGTAATGTACTATAAGGGACACCACTGTAATATAAGAGTGAAGTGGAATTAGAATTAAGTTTCTGGGATGAATGAGTAAAGAAATACTGCTGATAATTTGAGATTCTAGGAAATAAAAAAAATAATGTCAATTATGTTTTCAAACGAAATAGGTTGGTCTACATTCTTTTATCAGAGCCATCTAGATTTTGAGCTCCATGAAGGCAGGGACTGAGTTTGTCATTGGTATCAGTTCTCCACCCAGCCTTCATAATGTCAATTATGTTTTCAAACGAAATAGGTTGGTCTACATTCTTTTATCAGAGCCATCTAGACTTTGAGCTCCATGAAGGCAGGGACTGAGTTTGTCATTGGTATCAGTTCTCCACCCAGCCTTCAGTACAACTAGTGCACAGTGGGTGATCAATAAACAATTATCAAATGAATGAACAGGTGAACCTAAAGCTTCTTGTGCAGGAGTTCTTAGGACATTAGGACAGCTGCAAAAGTGTGACACCATGAAGTCCAGAAGTTTGGTTAGATTTGGATCTGGTTTGCTTTCCAATCTGTAATTAGAAAGTGTGAGGTTTTGTTGCCTTCCTTCTAACCTGAGTTAGTTAATGGATTCTCCAAGGGCACTGAACTTCTGTATGGGGCCAATACCTGCTGTATTGTTAAATGTACTCATTGAACCCAATTACACAGCAGACATGTGTCTGAACATTGGATTAGACATGGTATGTGATAGCTAATGAGATTAAGCACTTTGAACTCAGAAAAGACTGCCAGGCACATCCCAAATTTAGTGTAACGAATGTTCATTATATTCTTATTGCAGGGTGGCCAAACCTTAGGGCGGCATAAGGTTCCTCAATTATTTCTATGCAGTTCTTTCTAGGACATGAAGAAAGTACATGTTTGTTGCTAGGCTTGACTGTATTGATGCTCTCAGTAAAACAATACTATGTGCTTTGAAGCAGTAGATGCATGATAAATTCTGCAGGTATCTGAGGGCACCCTACCAAGAGTGCTGCCAGTGCATCAGGAATTCTAGATGAGGTACTGGGACTTAAAGGGAAAAACTCACCATTTCTGTTTCTTGGTTTCACTGATAGATTCTGGCTCTTCTGTTTGGTCAAGCTTGTCCCCCATTAGTCCTCTGAATGTGCAGCATTGTTAGTAAAGATGTAAAAGCCATCTTCTGTGCTCTCAAAGAGTTTTTAATCTAGTGGAGGAGGCAGCACTTGAATTCCCAGGCAGCAGAGAGTTAAAAAGCTAGACTCAAATTAGAGCACTTTCATTGATTTTTTTTTTCCTCCCCCTCTGGCTTCCAGCATTTTATTTTTTTAGTCTTTAATTACTCTTCCAAAGCACTTTCACAGCACTATTTGAAAAGAAATTTATAAGTTTTAGAAGTGTGAACTCATATCACCCAATTATCTTGGAAGCCTATTTAATGTGCCTTGATTTGGGGTGATAATGAAGGAAAAGGGAGCCCCGAAGGGGCAGATCAATCAGTTTTGGAAGGTCTGAATCAGCACATCTTTGGCACCAAGAGTTTTGATTGATCCAGCATGAATAATTCAAAGCCTTTATTTGTATGTTGAATTCGGAGGGAGAATTGGTAACTTAGAAAATGTAATATTCTTTCTTTTTTTCCTGATGTGCACTTTAAAAAAAAAATCATGCCATTATTTTAATTGTACCACCTGCCTCTTTAGTGGCAGCTAGATTAGGCAGAGCCTGAGTAGTGTGCATGCAAAATTCATGTCACCAGAGCAGGAGAACAAGTTACCTGTGGGGGTAGAGTGAGCACTTTGGCCAAGGCAGATGCATGGCTACACTTGTGACATAAAACCAAGGAAGACTTAAATCACCTCTATTGGAAGGCCTGTTGCTGAAACACCAATAGGGTTAATTTTTGCTCTTGGAGGAAGAGATGCTATGGGTGACATAA